CGTCAAACCGACGTGTCAAGGCACTTGACAATCAAAAGGTAGATTAATGAAAAACGATTCCTGTACCTTGGCATGGCTGTGCAAACAGCTGGACAAGCAGTATCGCCTACTGTAAGAGCGTCAGTCTTCAGTAATCCATACACGTGTAACTCGACCGTAGAAATTCTGCTCTTGAGAAAGCAACTACTTCAGGCTTCCGCAATTTATTCAACCCTTGCTGTGCTGGTTGGCGCTGGTGGATGGATGGTGGATTTCACCTTATCGCGACAACGGAAGCGAAGGTGGATGGCTTGTCCATTCTTATAGAAGAACATCTCGATAATATTTTATCTTGGGCCTTCCATCTATCTTGTCACCCTCTCCGGTGTAAACTTTAAAGATGCTCGTCGTAAGTGAAGTGATTTTGTCAGCCCCCACAGTTTTCAGTATGATCATTGTGGGATGAATCACTTTACACTTCAGCTCGCCTCATTAACGCGGATATTTTGGGTAGCAGACAAGCACGTCATCAGTCAATATCTATTTTTCACGAGCATCCATGGGGCCTACCGGGAGTACGAATTTGGCCCATAACAAGCTCATAACTCAAATGTGATGAGTATGCTCTTGCTGAGCGGTGGCTTTTTTGAAAGATAGATGTGATCTTCGGTAAGAGCCTTCTACTATTTCAAGTCGAAATCCCGGGTATCCACAGGGATGGTGAGCGCTAAAAATTTACCGATGGCTTTCCAAGAAGCTGTGCCTGCTAGCGGTTACATAACAAGCTGAACCAGGGCAAGTCCTGCTGATGAGGAAAAACTATACTGGCTACGACCCCTCTCTGTACGACCCCTCCCCATCCTGCCTACCGCCTTCCTGGGTTTTCGCAACTTCCTACAGATTTTCCGGGTTATTTTTTCGGAATTTCTCCGGTTCCCCTTGACGAGCGGTGAGGGGAATAAGTAACGCACTTGTAACAGGAAAACCCAAGAACAGTCAGCAACTGAAAACGTTCCTCTCAACGGCAAATACGACCCGAGCTTCCTCCACCGAGCTAGCACGCACTATTCCCCCCCTCCCTTCGCTCACCCCCTACGTACAAGGTGTCCTGACTTGAGCTTTAGTGAACGGTTCTATTGGGAACTCTGTAAGCAGACAGATAGAGGACAGCGGCTTATGTTGAAGTTGTCCCAGAATTCGCACCAGGACACATTGTAGTTGATGTAGCAGTTCTACAGTATGTTGAGCCAACTGGCTAAGAAACAATTAGTCTGAGTTCGTCGTGTTAGCGTTAATCCCCTGACTTCTACAGTTTCGAATTCTGACGTCAATGCCTGTAAACTAAACTAGCGTAGTTGAGAAAGGAGCACCCAGCCACGTTCAGTGGAACGGATACAGCCACGCCTCTGTATCCGTTCCACTAAACAAGGCATAGGCTTTGCGCGCAGGCGACCAGAGTCGCCGAGGGATAGTCTCGCACAGGATAAATGGTCTCTACTATGCCTAGGCCTTGCTTAGGGGAAACAAAGGTGCTGTTGAATGGTCCTTCCCAGCACATTAGCGCCCACGGGAATTGGTCACAACTAGTTTTTACCTTTACCCACTCCGTGGAAAAACCTGCGCCATGCGACGAAATGAATGCGTTACGTTCAGAATGCGAACAACTATTCGAAAGCAGTCATGGAAACGAGTACTGGGCCTTTGCCCCGGACATTCTCTCGCTGCGAGGATCAGAGGTAAGGCAGCGCTCAGACTTCGCGACGGCAGCGCTTCGGTCGCGCGTTCGACGCGATCGATGCGCATGCTTTTGACTGCATCGATCGCGTCGAACGCGCGACCGAAGCGCTGCCGTCGCGAAGTCTGAACGCTGCTTAGTTTCTTATCGCATCTACTACTGAATATTTGAAGGAAGGAAAACCAAGAAGATGGAAGAGAAAATCGAGGAACGAAGAAGGAAGGAGGAAGGAAAAGGAAGGTTCCGCGGCTGACGCGTCTCCTGAGACGATCATCCGTCAAGAGGTTGAACTCGTTGTGAAGCTGTTACGCTCCAATGCAGACACCGCAACGCAGCCGCGACGCGCTCGCAACTACTGAATTTTTTTTGAATCTGTGTTTTTCGCTTGTTTTTTATGTTGTGGGAAGACTTGTACTTCTGTTCATAGACATGGCTGCTACATCTGCTTGCACTCGCCTTGAGGCATTCCATAATCATGAACTGTTTTCTGCTACTTGTTCGGATGCTAGCTTTGTTATGCTGCATTTATGTTATGACTGCCGCTGGTCGCTACATTTCGTTGAAGGAATTCTGCGTATTTTATTACAATCATTTTGGAGACAATTCCACAATTCACCAGTGTCTTTGTCATGACCTTGTTTATAGCGGTTTTAAGCTTGCGCTCATTTCATAGCATTTTTCGTATTACTTTTGTAAATCGCTGTTGCTTAGAGTATCACTTATATAGTTGGTGGAGGGCAGCATCACCACTAGCCAACGCCTTGGTATCCGTCTCCTGAAATGTACAATTTCAGGCGTAATGGACGAGATAGACTATGGAGATGCAAGCAGATATGTCAACGACGCTTCCATAGAAATGGCTTGGGCCATGAAGGTGTGTGCACTGTATGTCCTAGAAGGGAACTTGGTCTTTTGAACTGGTCATCCTTCGCTCTATTTTATTTGTGAGCTACATAGATATGCAGTGACTTCAAAAATGTCGAAACTCTTCATTTTCATTCTTATTCTTCTCTATTTCGTTACATACGGGTACATAGATGTATGGAATCAAAGTTTTTCAAGTTGTAATTAAAGTTGTAGGTGGTAGTGATTTGCGCGCAATGCCACCTCATACCCGAATGCGGTCCGAAGTTGAAATCCTGGTCTGTCTTTTGCCACCTCAACCTAGCCTTTCCTTGCTTCGGAGTCGGTTAACAGGTACTTCATCGTTTGAGAGGATAAATACTAACTTGCTCACTGGTTGCCCCTCGCAAACTTATGAAAGCTGAACCACATTCGAAATACCCTACGATTTTGCATGGATATGTGATGTGTGAGGTTCATCAAGGAGGAATTAGTGATTGCTGGAAGCCTTGCCACTTCTCCCTTTATTATTCAGATTAGGTAGACTATGCTTTAAATCCCACTCTCGCGACTCCACAGCGAGCGAGGAGCGAGCTACAGCCGCTGGAAAGTTCTAGTTCTAACGCCCGCTCAGTTGGACCGCCCACTTGCTAGTTGTCATCCGACGGAGGGCAGCTCAGGGGTCGCATGCTATACTCCCCCTCGAGACGAGATATCCCCTTGTGAATCTCCTTCTCTGCCGTTATCTGCATTGATGCCCCTCGTCTCTCTGGCTCTCACCGCTCTGCATCCATACTCTTTTGGCGCATGCTCTGTGCGAATATAGTGCAGCGCAGAGTATAATCGATATGCTCCCCTCTCCCCCAGCGAATGTCGTTGGGGGAGATTCCGCGAGAGTGGGGGAGACATAGATGCAGAGGGGCGAGGGAATTGGTAGAGATGACGGTAGAGAGTGGAGATTTACTGGGGGAAACCTCCCCTTCGAGGGGAAGTATAGCTATGGCACCAGTTGTTCTTTGTTGGGGCAGCGGGCATTAGTCGGAATTGCATGTCCTTTTCGCTGACAGCGCTCATGCCCATGAATGATTCTGCTCTCCTTTATTACATTTTATTAATTAGGAGCACAGACAACTCCAACACATCTCGCAAGATAAAACGCGTAAAAATCACGAGCGACCCAATTTTCGTGGTGCAAAAGCTCGACGCACTTCACTACACTAAAATATGCACGCTACCGTAACCCCAAATTCGGACGCCGGCTTTTTAAATGTTTCTTTTTCTTTTCAAGAGTTTTTCCTCTCTGTTTTTGTTGTTTTGTTTTCTTTTCTTCGCATTCGATGATATCCACTACTGGGAGATGTGATAAAGCCAGGGCTTGCACAGAGACCGCAAGGAGGTGTGACTGTCAGGGAGCGATTTTGTTTATGGTGTTCTTGAGGACTTTCTGGGAATTACTTATCAGCTACTGTTTCATAATTGAACATCAACTATCCATGACACTTGTATCGCGGGAGCTGTCTTTAAGCTCTCATGTGAGGCGGTAACCAAGAGGTGACATAACAGCGATTCTGTTCAACTGTGTACTAGCTTAGCTTCATTACCATGATCAATAGTCCAGGTGTTAGATCCCTAATTTCTTTGCCCTGTTTTTACATATTCTCCCGCAACGAATTTCTTTGTATGCTCACATTTCTAAAAGCTCGAAAACGTGCTCGCAAATGTAAAAATCGGCTTTGCGGCCGTGAGCTTCACACCAAGTGTACAGACTTTTTCGATGCGGATGAAAGGGCTGTTAGGCGGGATGGGATCGGTGCGGCGCCATACCTTTTTTCAGCAGTTATTGACGCAAGCAAGCGTCACGAGTGCATTATATTGTTCCTATCAGTCGTTTTCCACTGAATTGTTGACGTTCAGGCACTTCAAGAGCATATAGAAAAAGGGTTCGGCGCCATCCTACCTGACACGCCCCGGCTTCTGCTGCGGACAAGACTGTTAAGACACGTACAGATCACATTTTTGACGTGACCTGTGGATAATGTGGGTGCGAGTCGTTGAACAAATTTCTACGCTTCGATAGCTAGGAGGTCAATCGAATACCGTTCGGCTGGAAGAGTTCCAGGCGTTTACGGGCTTTCTGTTAAGTTTAGCATCATGACACTTCTCGGAAAACTGCTCACAATTACTGAACTTATTCTTTTCTTTTTCATGGTTCACTCATTGTGGTGGGCAAAGGGGCATTGGTTTATAATTTGGGTTTATTACTGCCTGTAACATTTTAAATGTGTTGATTTCACGACGCTGTGATCAATTGTAGGTTCTTTCCAGGCTGCAGAACGAGCAAATGTACATATGAATCTTCTAATGTGTTGTGATACAAGAGTGTTGAGGCTTAACAAGCTTCAGGACGTTATCCATACATCATTCAGAAATACTTTCCCCAGTCTTGATGTGCACAAGGTTTCTGACCTACTTTTGATTTCGATGAACGTTCCAGATGTGGTGAGGCTATGATTACTTACTTGTAGGTCACTGAAGTCGAGCTCAAACAAGGTGGAATGAAAGAAAAGTGGCATGATTTCTGTGAAAGTTTCAAAGAGGTGAGCAATAGTGATACGGCTTTTGGAATGCATAATTTGACGACTTTCTTCCCTTTGAACCGCACTGAAATTTCATCGGCTTAGTCAGCTTTTGATTTAGTTAGTCTTTGGTTATAAAATACAACTCCAGGCAGTCTGGTAGGCAAAAAGCCGGCCTCACCATGTTCTTCACAGGTGCTTAAACATGTTATCATAGTGTAGAAAATTTTCAGGTTGTCGAAGATTACTCACTGGGAACCCTCATGCGGATAGAGGCCTGCAAGGGTTATAGCGAGGAGAACACGGTAGTCGTTCCAAAGGTAAGCTGGTTTCCTGAAGTTTTAACTTGTTTGGTCTTAGTAACCTCAGGCCACTAACAATGAGCAGCCGATTTTCTTTTACAATGCCGTTGTTCGCTATGGATTATGGGGTCGTCAAATCATATCGTTTCCATCAGTCATTTTCTACCGATTGTTGTTTCGTACTCAAAAACTAGTGTAGGACAGGTTGCATCGAATGCAACCTCACCGATATGCCCCATCATCCGCAGCGGACGAGCGAGCAGCCAACGCATTTACATGACTGTTGCTGTGACTCTAAATCACAATATTCACCTCATGCTTGAATCATTGCTAATTGGAACCTCCAGAAGGTGGCCATGTTTCTTGCTGCGATTTTTAGATTTCTGATCTTCCTTGATTGTCTTTCTTCTTTTCTCTTGTCCTACATGCCTTTCTGCTTAGCTTCTACAGCTGTTCGTGCACTTCTTTAATGAATAAGACATTTTGTTGCTGATTTTCCTCAAACTATCATATTTGTCTTTCCTTTTGATAATCTTTAATAATGATCTGTGAACAGGACATGTTGTTCACTGAAAAGAGGGGGTCGTAGTTGCGTTTGAGAGATACTTGCCCCGTTCTCAGGTTGTTGACTTTTCGCGACTTTTTCCATTACTGTTCTGCTACACCCCACTCCGCCCCCTGCTCGACGCCAAAATTTTAGGAAAATTTCTCATAGGGAGCTTGGGAAAGTTGGCAAGAGAGGCAGGAAGGAAGGATGAAAGAGGGAGGTGCTTTTATCTTTTTTTTAAGATTTTTTCCTGCTTCAACAACTTATCCGCTCTTCACTTCTGCAATAAGCTTGCCACACACCGTACTCTTTCTTTTGTGATGTGATTCCCCTATATTTCTCTTTCAGGTTAACCTTTACTTTCTAGCTTGCTTTGTGTCTCCTCGCGAGCTTTCTGTTTATGCTTCCTTTGTTCTATATGTCTGTATTCCGTCACGACGCATCTATGCACTACCCAATCTGCTCCCTCTCTCTCTCTCTAGCTAACTAGCTCTTCATCCTTTCTGCTGCTTTCCTGCTCACTTCCCTTCCCAAGATTTCTTTCTTTACTTAATACTTCGGTGAGTTGTAGTTGTACCTCTTCTATCTTATAGATTCTATATGTAAAATTCCTGAAGCGCAGAATAACTTGTTCCGCTATCGAATTTAATCGTAGTCTGTTTTTTTTTCAGATTATTTACCTAGCAGTCGAGATTGCTCGAAATGTGGAAGGAATCAACGAGAAATTGAAAGCGGAGTATACCGAAGATCACAAAAAGAATTCTGCTCAGTTGTAGCTTTTACTATTACTTTCCTGCTGCCCCCGTTGCTCCCTACTCTGTTGCTATTCAGTGAAATTTTCATAGCCTTTGTATTATCACAGCGCTCAGGTTGCACGAGTTTTTCATCCCGACAATGAATGTGAATATCAACTTCTTTTGCTTGAGTATTTTCGTTGTTACCACTTGTGATCATTGTTGTTACTTTATTGTTGCTTTTTTTTAAATAGTCCCGGTTTACAAAGAATTTTTTCCTATCATATTAGGCAATAAAATATGTAGAAAGGAATATTTGCTGTGGAAATCGTGGCTTCGCTCACCTATATTATCTCTTTCCTCATATGTTTCCAATAGTCCGTTTATCCACATATGCTTCCAATAAGTTTTAGATGAGCTTCACTTTCGGTGCTAAACCGACTACTGGGACGTCGTCTCTTTTCGGTACACGTAGGTTTTACTTCCTGTTTAATGAGGCTGAGACGTTTTCAATTGGAAAAATTACGAATTCGTTCTCATAATCTTCCCGCCTCCCACCCTTTGTACCGGTGAATGCCACTACGGCTCGGGATGAGGTTGCTGTGATTTCTTCGCTTTTTACTGCTCGAACGTAGACAACGATCCGGGAAAATGCGAGGAAGGGAAAGTCTAAATATCTGTCTGGGGAGCCGGCTATTTTTTTGGCAAATCCGACAAGGTTTGGAGGAGGATCACGAATCGGACTTAATGCGTTTCTTCAACGGAGCGAGTCCCGGAAATTGGCATCAGCTACCATCCACTACTACTTTGTAAGTGCGTTCTGTGAATTCGTCAATCAGTTCCTCATTCGCTAAGATCATGCGGGGAATGTGGCCCGAATCGGCAACTTACCGCTTAAGCTACTCAATCTAGCCAGATTGCCGAAGCATACTGCCATCTTGCTTAGAAACCTCGTCGATAGAGTTGGGTTTCCTGAACATGAATTACCACATCGGTTTGGCGCAGGTGGCGCACTCGCTGCTTTTTAATAGCGCAGAAACATTTCGTATCATTTTATTCGATGGAGAACTGTCGCAGCAGTTAGCCTGAACCCTTCAACACGAATTTCGCATCCGCTTATCGTGACCGCCAGAGGCTCGTTCATTTTATACCGAGAGCTTCACACTGTGACGATGTGAAGTCCGTGTTCGGCGGGTCGAATGAGCCCCGATGACAAAGCTTGATAAGTGACCAGCTCGCTGTGTTCAAAGAGTGAGTTCTTGAGGGTTCTTGTTAAGTTAGCCGTAAATAGATTGTTGTTCGGAAGGTGATCTGGGGAGGATCAATCTTGACTTTAAGAGAACTAGAAATCACACTCAGCGCTCGAATAGAAAATGCTGTCCGCAGTTTTAAATTGTTATTGAAAGGGTCACAGTCTTTCCGCTTCCGCGGAAAAGACTTGTGACCCTCTCAAAAACAAAAATCTAAAAGAGTTACTGAGGCGGGGGAGGGGGCTAGGTTTGGCGCGGCATCAAGTCGTTCAAAAAGAGTAGGCGGCAATTGCTAAAAAACGCTGCGACGCCGCCCAACATCTGTAGCGAACAAGGCTTTGCTCTTAACGGTTTGGGTCATGGGGAACTTTGTTTCAATACAAAAATTCATATTTTCCGCTCTTCACATTTCGATTGATCATACACTTTTCAGCTGCCACAACCACATCATCAATATTTGGTTCATCTGCGACAAGCACGAGTACGACATCTGCATCGTCAATTTTCGGTGGTTCGTCCACGACAGCACCGATGTTTGGTGGAGGCGGTTCCTTGTTTGGCTCTTCCACAAGCAATACTACTGCTGCTCCTTCGCTTTTCGGTGCGACAACTACAGCATCCACGGCCGGTTCCTCTTTGTTTGGTACCAAGCCAGCTGGTTCATCAATGTTTGGCTCAGCTGCCACTACAGCTCCAAATACTGGTTTCTTTGGTAGCACGACGAATGGTCCTGTAACCAATGCTCCGCTATTTAATGCCACGACAAGTGCAACAACGGCAAGCACAGGTCTTTTTGGAGCATCTTCCAATGCCACTACAACTGGATCATCCTTATTTGGTTCGACAAGTGCACCCTCTACTGGACTGTTTGGTGCTCCTGCAACAAGCACTACTTCCACTGGGCTTTTTGGTTCCGCGAAGCCCACATTTGGATCCGCAGCTACTACCACTGCGACACCACTTTTTGGGTCAACCTCTAATGCTGCACCATCGACAGGTTTATTTGGAACTCCTTCAACCACAACAGCTTCACTTTTGAGTGGAGCAACGACAACCACGTCAACAAATCTGTTTGGTGCAGCTCCTGCTGCAACAACGACCACATCACTATTTGGAGCTCCCGCAAGTACCACTTCGACGCCATTGTTTGGAGCCTCCACAGCTGCTAAGCCACCCACGACTGGATCTCTATTCGGTGCTGCTCCTGCTCCATCATCGTTTGGCGCAACAGCGGCCACTACTTCTGCTGGAACATCGCTATTCGGTTCACAGTCGTCTGCGGTGACGTCCACTCCATCGCTGTTTGGCTCGACACCTGCAACCACTTCCGCAGCTCCATCACTGTTTGGAAGTTCGACCACGACTGCTGCAGCTCCATCACTGTTTGGAAGTTCGACCACGACCGCTGCAGCTGCACCGCTGTTTGGCTCTGCTACAACGACTAGTGCCACTCCGTCGTTCGGTCTAGCTGCTACGACATCCAGCACCCCTTCGTTTTTTGGATCATCTGCTTCAACAACAACTAGCGCTGCTCCACTCATGTTTGGTTCCTCGGCCACAACGACTGCTGCTGCTCAGCCAACTCCACTCTTCGGAACATCGACTACAGCTACAACTTCTGCGGCACCATCGCTCTTCGGTGCTACACCGTCAGCAACAACCGCTGCTGCGCCTTCTCTGTTTGGTGCCCCTGCTACTACATCCACACCACTTTTTAGATCAGTTGCCGCCACGACATCCGCTCCAACATCCCTTCTTGGGGCCACGACCACCTCAGCACCATCATTATTCGGTTCTGCCGCTACAACTACCACCACCACTCAGCCAGCACCACTATTTGGTGCTGCTCCTACTACCACAACAGCACCAGGTACGACCACAGCTCCCTCCACTACAACGTCGTTATTTGGCGCCGCTCCAACCGCGTCATCAGCTGCTCCCAGCCTTTTTGGAACAACAACCACAGCATCTACGGGTCTGTTGGGTTCGCTAGCTCCGAAGACAACCGCTTCTGGTGGCCTATTTGGGGCAGCAGCAAGTGCCACCAAAACGACAGCTGCTCCGTCACTATTTGGAGCCGCAACATCGTTAGGCGGTGAGTAGTCAAAATAGGAAAAGTATTTCTTCATTTTTTCTGCATGTGGTAGTAATTTAGGCACCGCTCCAGCAACAACTACACCCTCACTCGGGCTCGGAGGAACTACACAAACATCTGGTAATACATAACATCCATCTCAATCTTACGTCATATCTTAGACGCTGTTCATACTTTGCGTCAGCGTACGACATCGTTTCGAGTGTGCGCGAGCAACTGGGAAACTATAGGAATCTGTTTAGCGTGCGCCAGCGTTTTCACGGGCAGTTTTGGTTGATCAAATCCCCTGCAAAAACGCTGGCGTACGCTGAAATACACTGGTGGAGGCTCGAAACGCAAGATCGTTATCCATACTTTCCTAGTCGCTCGAAATGTTGGTCTACGCTATCTTACGCTGCGGTACGCTGGCGTACGCTGACGCAAAGTATGAATGCAGTCCTCTAAAGGTCGGATTATGTTTACATATGCATTTTGAATAGGTTTTGGCACAACTCCTGGTATGGGTACTACCACGGCCGGCACTACAGCAGAAAAGGAAAACTTGCGTGATGGCATTGTGCCAAAACCTATCCGCGAAGTGGCTATACTGCTGAGGTTCGTATTCCATTACTTCAAGTGCTCCGTTTGCCGTATATTTTTTTTCGTTAACACCATCCTAATGTTTCCACACTGTTCAGGGAGAAATTGAAGGAGAACAGAAAATTAACTGAAGAATTCACAGCAAATTCAACTGATTTAACCATCAAAGTAAAAGAGTATATCAAGGAGGTGAGTTGTTTTGCAGCTGTGGCAATTGTGGCTCGACTTTTGAACCAAGCGATGGTTTACGTTGCAGGTTGAACACAAAATGTGTGAGGTATACAGTAAGACTTCGGAATGCGATGTGAAATGTGCCCAACTCAGTAAACGCATCACGAAGGATTTACACTTGGGTGATATCGCTCAACGTATTCAGGAGTCGGCCAGCAAAAACGTACACATCAGCTCACAGGCGCAGATTATCGAGTAAGCCATCTATTGGTTTGTCTCTTTATTCCTATTTTGGGACTGTCTGCCTAGTCTTATTTCAGATACATGGTAGATATCATTCGAGAATATGATGAGGCTGCCACTTGCTATCAGAATGCCATTACTGATATCAGCGCAAGACTGGATGCTGCCATTAATGGGAAGGTATGTCATATGGGAGGCGATGTGATACAGTGACTAGTAGCGTGTTTACGCGGTCCTCGGTTCAAATCCCGCGTTGACCCCGCCTAGGCCACCCAAGCCTTCTTCCCTCCGGAATGGCTGATTGGTACTAGATTCATCCGGAAGAGAACACTGACTAATGAATCGGCTGGCTAGATCACTCTGTGGGTTCCGTTTTTTTTTGTTATGGAAACAAATCGCATTTGATTAAGCCACTACGTTCTGAGAGATGGAGGTTAGGAGATTGCGTGCCCGCATGCAATTAAGTGAATTTTGAGCAACGCGAATTCGCTCTGATTCTTGTTTACCTCCGATTAGAATGCTGGAAAGTGTCAGAAAGTGTCACTGAGCAAAGCAGAATGTCCACCTCTAAGACTGCTCTGGAGTCCTCAGGAAATAGTACATCCGAAGATGGGAATTTTTTTCTTATCATGCCTATGTAGTCCTGGAAACTGTTCATTCTAAACAGAAAGCATCTTGTCTTGCGATCGCTATTCTTGAATTTTTCGCAATAAAAACCTGTGTACTAGAAATATTAGGCTAGGAGAAATGCTAAGCTATCTACAGTTCATAGGTATTCAATCAAGATTTTCTGTTCTCCCCCATTGCTACAGTTTCACAAAAGCTTCAAAAAAGTCAAAATACATTAGAGTTCCAGAGTGAAGGTAACCTTAATGATTTCAGGAAGATCCCGGAAAATACTTTTTCGGGGCTCGGGGAGCGGCGCAGGGCCGGTACCGCCCCGCTTTTTATATCCATTCTTCTTTAAAAGATTTCGGTCAGGTTCGCGGAACTATAATACCAGGTTAGTAGAGCCAAGCCTGAGAATGACGACATAGTCCTGCCTCCTACACGACCAGAATTTAGTTTTGATATAAGTTGCATGCGGTCTGAAATGTGCTTCTTGTAGCTCGGCTGTCGGACGTGATTCCTCTTTTTAACGACGTTTAGCGGCGCTAAGTCATAACGATTCACTCATGGAACGTTCATTGCTCCTGGAATCCATGAAAAGAATTCTTTCAGGCATCAATGACTGTCGCAGACTTGAGAGAGCTGTTGACACGTTTTGATATTGCATTTACTCGAGTAGCCACCAGATTATTTGCTGCTGCTCGAAGAATTCAGGTAGATCTTTGAGAGCCTTTTTATGGATGTTTGTGTAGTGTGTAAGATGATGTGTGCCTTCATAAGTTGACCTTTTATAAGTTCAACATTTTAAATCAAAGTACCGTCCTTCTATTGATTACAAAATTTTCGATCAATAATTTCCAGGATGCCAAATCGGTCATGACCGCCGACGGGTCTTTGTATATACCTCGAGACACAATAGGACGAAGAGCTGATGGATCACTGTCTTTCAACAAACTTCGTGGGAACGATTTCGTTCCATCCCAGTCGTCGATTGCCGAGTTAGGAAAACAGCTGAAGCCAGCAGCAGCAACTGCGGCTCCTGCTGCTACTGGAACTGGTTCGTTTCCTGTTCTTTTTCAGATTCACCGCAGGAAAGGCGATGAAGTTTTATTATGATAACTGATGTTTTATGCCTTAGTTCGCGCTTCTAAAGTTGGCACAGAAATGCTGAGGTATGGGCAAAAATCTTGACCCCATGCAGGACCCAAGTACGCACCTCACGCTTTCCGGGCGAGCGCCACCGGAGCCGCTCTAACCCTCTCACCTTGACAGCTTTTATGCCGTAATCTAACAGCACTCACATGTTCAACATGGCGTGAGGTGTGAGGGTAAGAGCGGCCGTGGCGAATAGCGTACTCGCATGGAAAACGCGAATTGTGGGTTCGAGCCCCGCCTGGAGTCAAGACTTCTGCACAGAAGTCAGCATTCTTGTGATAACATTGGGAAGCCGATGTTCTACTAAGCAGGAAATCGGAATAATTTCGTTCCATGATCCTGCTGATTTTCAGGCCTCTTTGGATCGACGACCGGTGGATCACTGTTTGGATCGAGCACAACTGCTGCGAAACCATTCTCCTTTGCAAGTACCTCAACAGCAGGCACATCGTTATTCCCTTCGCTTACCACATCAGCGGCAGGTCCATTGTTTTCGTCATTGACGTCGACTTCATCTACTGCTCCTAAGCCAGCTCTTAGTTTTGGATCGACGATTACGAATAACTCGAGTGGTTTACTTTTCAGCAGTAAGAAATAAGTAGTGTTTTCCAATGTAGGTACAGCTGATAACGTCGCCACCAGTCGGGACGGTTTCAGGAGGGATCGAATGAGCCCAACCGATCACCAAGGGTAGAGCAAGGTAGCCGCAGGCAGACTCATTGTACCCTCCTCACCCCCTGCCACCGCCCGCAACTGTTTGCGGCGTTATCAACCATAACTAACCTTATCTCGTATCATTACAACGGGAACGGTTCGCATCTCTTCTGAAGTTGTTATTTTAAAAATTGTATCCATGCCAGTATGTTTTGTAAATTTCGTTTAAATGGAGCAAGCCTTTACTTGAATAGTCGCTTTTCCATTGTTCCTGTTCCCATTTTGAAGATTATACGAACTTTTTTTGGAGTCCCTATTTCAAAAAAATGTAACTGTTGAAATTGGCGAAACCAAATGTTACTTACTACTCAGAAGTGTACTTCATTTCCTGATCTTGTGCTCTTCCCTCATTGTTGCCCTGGTGATACGTTTAGATAAATGGAGAAACTCTCAACCGTTCCTTCCTCAGTATTTTCATGTTATTGTAGCGATCCAAGAATAAAAATATAATTCCAGTCAAGGTTGCAGCAGACTGGAGATGTTACTGGTTCACACTCGAGTAACTCGATGTATGAAGGGAATGTGACCTTTTTTCGTTTCAACTATCCCCCCCGCCCTGTTCTAGCGCAGCTACAGGAGGTGGGCGGGTCAAAAGACACTTTACCCGAAGCACATATCAATTAAGAATACGCAGCCCAGAGAGAGGACGTGATACTAGTACCAGGGCGGATAATACCCAAGATGTCCCTCCATAAGCAGAAGCAGGCTCTCTCCCATCACCTTCACGTACACTAGAATATGAAGCCATCTCCGATCGCTCGGACTGGTTAAGGCCTATGGAATTCACGCCATCTCCAAAGAGCTGCGAAACTTCCTGCATCGAGTCACCCATGGACAGCTATCTGGCCACTAGCACTGTTGATCTGGAAAACCTCATCGAGCAGCTCCGACAGCGTCGCTATGGTCCAGTATATAATCTTCACTGCAGTGACCAAGGCAGGGGTGGATAGTATGGACCGGAACTGCCTGGAGAGACCGATATCGTCTTCGTGGACCTCAGACTGAAGACGAACGCTGGTTGTTACATCGAACTGCTCGAAGAGACCATGCTGCCTTCATTTCGTCGGCTGTACCGTCCTGGAAGCTTCGTACTGCTACAGGGTGGGGTGGCAGCACATGAAATCGAACAACTCTCGCCTACTAGGAATCGAAGGGCGCTGGGTACCTGAAGAAGATGGAATATCCAAGTTCGCCACCTGCCCTAAACCCCTCGATTACCGGATTCTCAAGCTCAGCAGGGTGGTCTACAAAGGCGGAGAAATCAACGACCTCGCTGAACTCAGGCACTTCATGGCCGCGCGGCAGAATCTCTCGATGGCGTTCGTCCAGAAGGTTGTGGCGGACTTTGAAGCGTACAACGTGTTGGAACATTATGGGTGAGACTGTAGAATCAGAATTCAATAAAGTGTAGCTTTTTTTTGCTTTGAAAGTCGAGAAAAGTTTTTTTGGGTGCCCCCCCCCTCTGCATATACCTGGATAACGTTTGCAACTATATGTGTACGAAAATCGAATGCAGTGAAGTCTCAGTGATGCAGGAATGTGGTGGGATTTGCCTGATCGGTATATGGAGGATGATAACGCCTTCGCCGTTAACCAATTCCTTTCATGGGATGCGGTACACATTGTTCCACTCAGAATCTAGCGGCTCATTGAGTGTCATACGGTCAAATATACGGCGAAAAGTGGAAGTAATTGCCGATACACTCTGGCTTTTGATAGTCCTCGCAAGCGATTATAGGTACCAATCTCGGCCGCAGAGGGTAGAATGTTGGCTGGCATGAGCGAAGTCGACCCGTGATTTGTCCCCTGAACCGCGCCCATGGCAGGTCAGCCACTTGTCATTACACCATATTCGCTGTTGAAAAAGCAGTTCAAACATCACAAACGGGAAGCCACCAGTTTCAGACCAGATTGAAACCAGTTTCAGAGCGATGAAAACAGTGCATGCCAAAAACAGCTAACAAATGACCACGTGATCACAGGATGATCGTGGTGGTCGTGGCATCTTGGTGACGGTCAGGGACTAAACGTCTAGCACAATTTAACAGCCTACGCATATAGTCATGCATATGAAGGAGCGTGTGATCGGAGGTAGCCCATCCAGTCTATCGCGCTAATTGCAGCGGACTTAGGATGACTTTACTGATAGAGAGACCGCCTCATAGTCTTGGATTATTGTTGGAATGTTTTTTCAACTAGCTTGTTCAGTAAAAACTGATCAACGAATTTATGTGAGAAAAGCAGAAAGTAGTTCACAGTAACAGGAAGGAAGGCTACAATATGTACAAAAACAGAAAACACTGCCACCATTATATTAGAGCTCTTTTCGAAACAAAAATGGTTCAGCGAGATATAACAACAGATAATTATACACCCGAATTATAAAAATTTCTGAAGAAGCACACATTTCAGAACAAAAGGAACAGCTGTGCTCAAAGATTCGAGAAAACTTTCAGTCTCAAAATTCCATATTTGATACAGCACATAATGAAACCGTAAAACTTTTATAACCTACAACAATTGAATGAAAACACGTAAGCAAGCTAGAAAATCATATCATGAAATTGGCCCGTTTGAGTAACTTGTGGTCGGTGCGGCATACGCTGGCCAGCACCAACTGCTCTGCCCCGGTTAGCGTGCGCACCACCTCCGGCTGTATATTCAAATTGAGATGTCTGAAAAGGCTCAAAGATATTTAAAAGCAGTGATATTGTGCAGAAAAGGCCTACTAATCATTTACTGTATAAACCCACTTTAACAGTGTCCATCAAATCCTTGAAGTCATCTCTAGAATAAGGTGCAGTATAGAAGAACATATGATCAAGAGCTTTCTCGGCCTCCAATCTCTTGCTGGGGTCCAGCGTTAGCAACTCATCAATCAAACATATAGCAAGTTCATCCTTAATAGCAGTCAAACAGTAACACTGCAATTGCTGGGCAAACAATTTCTACAAAATAGTGGTCTACTTCTGCACGCTGTTGATCAAATGGAGAGCAGGGTAGGTAAATGGCAGAAAAGGTCGTCCATCACGCCACTGGCCAAGAGCTGGATTGATTTGGCCTTGCCATCAAACCTTCTGGCAATGTGGAGCGGGTTAGGCAGTAACGGATTCGCTTGGATGATTTTTTTCGCGCCAAGAAGGTAATTAGGTGAGACAAGAAGGTTATTGGGTTTAATATCAGGGTTTGGGCTACCGACTATATAGTCTTCGTCACAGCTATATGTAAACGATTCGTTTG